GGAGGCAATCAAGTGCATTGATACTTTGGTCGGGTTTGAACAATTTGATTGGATGGGATCTAGTACAAATATGTTCGGTAGTTGTAAAATGTTTAGGCGGTTACAGAGCGGTGATTCTAGTTATTTTGATTCTCATTGTTTGTTGGACGCGTGCCGTACTTTGTTTAGGTGTTAATGACAGACAATTTTGGTTTTAAGTTACTATTATCGATAGCCACTGAATTGTTAATAAAGAATGAACAAATGATTGGTTGTTATGGCGTTGGTAGTGAAGATTTTTGTTGTTGTCCGTCCCACAAGAAAAAAATCGTACCATCATAAAGACGTAAAAGATACAAAATACAAATTGCGTCATGGTATCTTAGAAAAATTGTCAAGGTTAGGCAAACCAAGCAAAAAAAGCAGAAGGAAGAGTTTCATTTTCTTCAATAACAAAAAATATTATTGTACCTATGAATTAAACCTCGATAATTACTGTCGCTTCCATTATGCCTCCTAAAACTCTACGACACAATATTTTAACCCAAAACGAAGCCTAACCTTTTTTTAACCCGTCGCATTCTACTAAACAACCAAAATAAAAAGAAACCTGCGTCTCGTGTCATCAAATATCAATTCTTCCCTTCAGTAATTTACGTACCCGCAAAAATCATAATCAGTGTAACAGCGACCAGACGTGTTGAACAAAATAGAATAAAAAATTCAATGACATGATGGGGACGAGCTAAAACCAATTTAGATAGACCCATCAACTTGCACCAGATCCATAAAAGACATCGTAGTTTAAGTGAGGCAAGGGGAGCAGGGAAGGTCTTTTAAAATTAGTGGAGTAGTATTAATGGTTTTGGACCTTGGGTGAGACGCGAAATTTAATCTTCATCGCAAAAAGTATTGAATAGAACGGGACAAAAAGGTTTGAAGTGATAAATGGATGCTGATCAGCGTCGCCTTGCGTTTTGGTTTTAGTTTCTTGGACATCTTTGCTAATTAATTTTCCTTTATATTGAGAATTGTTAAGATGTTGTGTGACTATCTTGCTTAGGACAGCACATTTTCTATACATTACTGAGTAATTGGTAAAGGCTTTAGATATTATAATGAATGCAGTTAAGAATACTGTGGTAATGGCAAACGAATGCAGTCATTTTTTATTAGTTATATTATTATTGTTGGCGATGAATGTATTTCCATACAACGCCAATAATTAAATATTGTCATAATTTACCTTAACTTATTAGCATTTAAGCACTTATGATTATTTTATAACAATGTTCATTACTTTTACCTAATTTCGCCTGAAACACAGGTGTCCTATGTTGTGAATTTTATATAGCTTTAAGCAAATCTGTATATTACTAGACTATTATGTTTGAAAATAAATGTTATTTATTTATTAGATATTTTATTTTATTCTAGATTCCATAACATGGACTAGGTACTAAGAATTATCGAAAAACTAAATAAAAGTAGGTACTTTCCCTAACATGAGAAGCAAATCCGCAACTCCTCGTCAAGCTTTAAGGCTACTTAAGCAACAGGACAGTCATAATCAATAACCAATAGCGACAACAGAAACAATCAGTCAGACACGACATTCATAAAGCCAAAAGCAAAAGACAAACAAAAAAACAAAAAAGCATAAAAACTTCACACGTAGTAACTTCACAGTAAATGATAAATGATGATGTCAATTCCGTCTGTGTTGTGAACGAAGTGGTATTTCCTGGAGTGGAAACCAGATAGTGTGGATTGGTAATCAATATGGAGGTAAACAAATTGACGATGTGAATGGAGGAGTTGGAAAAATTTGAGTTATTTTTAATCGATTTCAAAAAAGGAAGTTCGGTGTTAGTCCTTTGTTTTTGTGCACGATTATCTCGCTATTGGATGAAGTGGTTTTGAAGCGGTTTTCAGAAAAGTGTTTGTTATACACTTAGGAGGAGGGTTTTGTACATATATTAAACTGTCAAACACCGCGAGGACACCGGTGACTGCAACCTATTGTTCTTTAATTGTGTCTATAATGACGGTGCTCGACGAGTTAATGAACCGACTTAAAAAAAACGTGACGTACCAATACGAAAACTCGACAGTTCAAAATTCGTAGAAAACTGTCGTTTTGACAGTTCGAAAAAAGTATTTTTTTTATGGAATAGGAGGTAAAGTAGTAGACGGATCACCTGATGGTAAGCGATCAGCGCCGACCATGGACGCCCGCAACACCAGAGGAGTCACAGTCATTTAATTTAACTAGTTGACAAGTACCCAATTGGCTTTACTCAAATTTCAATAGATAATCATTTTAATATTTAAATAACATAAGTTTTGCCTGTATTCATATAATCGGTTGCCAATTTTCAAGTTACGACCACCTTATCTCATCATGAATAAAAAAAATATTTCCATAGCACCACATCATACAACGATATAACCCTAAAAATCCCACAAACCATAAGGCGTGGCCCAATCCATCACACCGCCGTGATTACACCATAATTATATCAGAGTAAGGGTTGAAATTCACTGAGTCTCGGTCACGTGGCTATTGTTTGACGTTTTACCAAATTACAGTCACAAGCATGGTATACTTGAATGATTTCCTATTCTGTATAGAAGCGATCATGGTCTATGATCATCAAATTGTCGAATATGATAAATATTATAATGATATTATAACTGCCTCATTGGCTAAGTGGTCGCAAGTGCGACTGCCGGGCAAGGGGTCTCGGGTTCGATCCCCGATTAGCGCAAAGTATTACTAGGTTTATTAAAAAAATCTCAGTAGCACGGAGCCTGGAAATGTGCCCGGTATATGGCAATAGGCTCACCCCCTATTACATGGGACTCTTAACATAAATAGTAAAAAGTGGGTGTTACTATGTACAGTGGCATTAAGTACCGTAATGACCTCTACCCACTCCTTCGAGGATAAAAGGCGTGATGTTATGTTATGATAAATATATTTGAAATGAAGTTCATATTATGTTTGGTTAGGGAAAGGGGTCTGTTGAAATACTGTGCTAATTATTAGCCACTGTTTGAGTCCTTGGTTTCGGCAATATTCTATCCTTGTTCATGTTGTGGTAGACCTTGGAATCGTGGCGCACCGACATGTCACTCCCTCTTTACACTTACTCACACCACGCGTGTCTGGTACGTGACCCTTCCCAGTCATGAATGACATAACATTTCTGCCAGAGGTTTAAGAGTAAATTAAAATACAAATTATAATTTCAATGTCACAATTGAATATAATTTCTGAAAGGAATACAAAAATTTGGAAACAGTAATTAACTCAAGCAACCTTTTAAAGATAAATAATTAACACAATTACACAACCAATGCAAATTATAAACGCAAATGAGAATCAGTAAGTAACTTATTACTGTACAAATAATTCCCACCAGTAACAAAGTCGGTGATCCTCGTGACAATCCCCAATGCTGTAAGAAGACTATTCGCCATAATCCGTATAAAAGCGAGAGGGGGATTTGTTTTATTTATTGTTTCTGTTTCCTTGGTGTTGCTTACTTGTTGGATGTGGTGTTAATTAAAACAAGGCTTCTGGAGATTGTGGGGTCGAAATCTATGACGTCTGCCCCTATACTTATTATACTGTTTGCGTCGGTGTATTGATGGGCTTTTGTCACTTTTTTATTTTATTTGGACTTTTTATTCTACTGTTAGAGTATTGAAACAAAGGTTTCAAATGGTGAAGTTTTGTCAAACAGTTTCTAGCTATACCAGTTTTAATATAAATAAACTGTAACTGAAGAAGAATTTATCATCAAACTCTGTGACTGATTTTTCGAAAGCAAAAAATGTCTTATCAGAATACTGGGACTGGGTGTTTTGTCGTAATATCCCACCTTTTTTATCCCCGAAGGGGTAGGCAGAGGTGCACATTAGGGCAATGTAACACCCTGTTTTCACTATTTATTTTATGTAATACGGGGTGAGCCTATTATCATTTATTGGACACGATTCCAGACACCTTGATACTACTGAGATTTTTTAAAAAGTCCAGTAATAATGGGGTAGACGACTAATTTTTATTTTAATGTCCGTCCGGTAGATTATTTAAAAACATTAGACACGTATTTTTTATTTTCTTACGGAAACGAATAGTTTCGAAGATATATTGATTTGAAATGTCGCGTGACGTCACTTCTCAGTACATTTCATTACCTAAGTTACGGACTAATTATATTTTTAATTTTCATACCCTGTCATCATCCCCATTTGCTCGACCTGGGAATCGAACCCGAGACCCCTTGCCTGGCAGTCGCACTTGCGACCACTCGGCCAACGAGGGAGTCAATGTTTTGTTGCCTTTAACCTAATGACTATTTTTTAGCAGGTTCCTGTTCATTTAATATTACGTAGGTAGCAGACAAGCATTCAAGGATTACAAGTATAACTCTTAGGATTACGTCAGAACTAGCTTGCTATTTGCAAATTTTAATTACATCCCATCATTACAGACACCCTGCTGATAATATGACATCAAAGCAAATGCGGATAGCCACCCTTGGCCCAACATACTCATTCACTTCTTTCTCACCGCCCTTTTCAAATTCAACTCTAGCATCATATGAATAGAGGTGAAAATGATGATGGGGTAGTGGTTTTGGACGCAAATGTAAGTTAGTATTGAGGTTTGGAATTAATATCTGTCAGCTTTTAGGCTCTTTGAACAGTATTATGAGCATTTGACACTATAAGTGTGCGATATGAAGAAGGACCTTTGTAGGGATTATAGGACAAATGAGATAGGGAGACAAAGTACGTACTAAGTTATAGTGTGATTCATAAATGCTTCTAAGAAGACTTGAGAAATTAATATTCGGATCTCTCTTAAGTTGTTTGCATCATTTACATATCGTTAAATTGTGTATTTCATGCAGGAGGTTAAGTTTCTTCTTAGTGTTGTGTCGAAAGGGGTCTAAACACAATTTAGAATAACAAATTACACCAAGTTTTTTTAAATGATTCCGGACAACACACTTTAATAAAAAAACTTACTATTTGACAAATCAAACAAACTATGATTGCATATTTCTGAAGTCAAAGGGTTAATCTTCCAAAGTGTTACTGTCTTCTTCCATTACATCCCAAAGCGTTCGATTCCTAAACTCGATGTTTTTAGTCTCTTCAACAATTTTCTCTTCACTAAGTCGTTGTTCTGGAATCGATTCCAAATCTTCATCGAGAAGTGAGGTGACTGAGAGAAGCGTTGAGTCTGTGATGTTGACTGTGTCTCCTGCGTCTCCCCTTTCTGGCTGACTTCTTGTCGTGCCTAGAGTCTGTAAAGATAGAAAGCTGTCCTCAGAAATTTTCCCCACATGTGACTAGTACATCTTTAAATGTACATAATATTCTTTCATTCTCATTTTTCATTATCAGTCTGTATTCGTCCACTGCTGGACATAGGCATAATATTCTTACTTGACGTTAAATTTGAATGAAAAAATGAATCAAATATCATTTATTTCCATACCTACATTGGGATCGTCCCAATAGAAGAAATACCTAACATTTTCATTTTCCAAATTACAAACTATCAATCTTCGTTCGACTAATTACAAAATTTTCAAAGAAAAGTCTCTATACGATCAGTATTTCCACCAATATTTTAGTAATACTTGCCAATGCGTCTCCAATGCAAGATCTTCTCCTTACAGAGTGTTGACTATTCATCATAGCCTGGAAATGTTCTTAATCAATAACAATCCTTTTGTCATTCAATACTTCAAAAACATTTTTATCTGGTATCGTTGAAAGACTGGCTACTTGCTTTACATACTTTATCTAAGCCTCATTTTTTAAAACTATTTATCATCAGTGTTACTTACGTCTATAATAGCCATGTGGAGAATAGGCACTTCTAATCTGAGTGGTTTGATCTCCTGCGGCTCCTCATCTAAGTAGGAATATTCGGTGGGAACCTGAGAAATTGAAAGAGTTATTAAAACTGAATCAAAACCTCCAAATAAATAAACAGGTAGTATGCTTTATACGAAATTAATACTAGCGGAAGCTACTTACAGAGGTGGGCGGTAACTGCCAATGGACCAATTGAGAGGACATTTTTTATAATTTATTAATTAATTTATAATTAACTCATACCCGTCGTAGTCTCCACTTCTCAAGAAACTCGTTGGTCTGTCTCAAGGCTTCTTTGCTTTCATGAAGGAGATCATCGATTCGATCCTTGCTTCGGAATTGCTTGTACTTGTTTAGGAACTGAAAGACATTTTTTTTGTACTTAGAATGTATACCATCAATTAATAAAATAGCAAAAGATTGTTTACTTTATAAAACTTGGAGACTACACAAGCAAAATTTTAAACCGAATGACGGAAACAGAAACAATCAAAAAGTATAATATAGCCACATTAATATTATTATTCATAAAATCAGTAGGACAATAATTATTATAAACGTTATTGTGAAATCCAGATTAAATATCCATTGTGGTATTTGAAAGTAATTAAAACTGTAAAGAATGAAAGTTCCCTAAAATCCCGGAAATACTTATATTAAGCTACGCCTCAGATTTATGTTAATGTACTAAGAAATAAAACAATCCAAAACTAATACCAAACATACAGCAATCGTGAGACTCAGGACCAAAATCTCCATGAAAAGCACGGGCAAACTTATAGGATTCTCTGGCAACACGGTCACATTCTTGGCCTCTTCTTTAACAGTCCTCTTGACGAAGCACGTGATCTTACAGAAGATTTTCTGAAACATGTCCACGAACCCATGGCCGAGGATGAAGTCGATAAGGATTAGGCTGAGGAACACAGCTCCATAAAGAATGGCACTGCAAGCCTCGACCAACATGTTCGAGACTGTTCTATTGCTTTTAAAACTGAAATTCACATAATTTTACACGGCACGTACAATTTGCACATTTTACATTGGGTTGAGTGACGGATTGTGTTTTTTTCATTGTTTGTTCTCTATCATGTTGTTGCTAGAGGTTGGTAGTTGTCAAAAAGTTTGCATGGATTATAATAGGGATTTTTTGCATTTTTTGTCATGTTGGTGGGTATAATTGGGTATGGGCCAGAGAGTATAATAAGTATAAGGGTATTGACTAACGTTTTTCACAGATCAGTTTGGTAGTGGACTATTTTCAATGTATCATTTTCTCTGGCATCGTGGGTGAATTCACATGCTTATTACACCCAGACTCGGAAATAGTAGTAAATAGATTACATAAAGAGTTATTCTGTACGGGATCCGAACATGTAACCCATAGCGTATTATTTAGATTACGATACAATAACATGATAAGTTTTTTCGGGAAAATCAGAGGGGAACATTGTTATCGCGGTCGGTGCTTAGTGACGTAGTAGTGAGCCTGCGCTAAAAACCTTTTTCATATCGACTGTCACCATAGAAACAAACTTGTTGAACTTCACAACGCCAACATTAAAGTCGACGAGAACACTTATTTTTACCTTTTTAACATTTTATTTTCAGTAATACAAGTATAAATTAAATAAAAATATAAAAAATGGTACGTATTCTCACTGTGTCTAATAAACCTCTTATTTATTGTATGCTGACAACGTTTGTAGGATTTTGGAATATGTTTAGTTGTGAAATCTTGAATTATATTTCCTTTTCAGGCACCAAAAGCAAAAGAAAAAGCTAAAAAGGCTCCAGGTATGAAAAAATCTTACGAATTTATTAATATAATTAATTACTTTTTGTTGAAACTGGTATTATAAGACTTATTTAATACCTGTAGATAGCGATAAGTTATCAGAAGTGCGATTAAGTGATTGTATGTTACGTTGAGGTTTACAATTTACCGTATGATCGTTTATTGCTATTGGATTTTTACTTATGTATTGTCTGTGAATAATTCCAACTAAGATACTTATTTTGGAATCTTATTACTTTGCAGCCATTATTATTGATGGCGTGGACACATCGGATATGTCTCGAGAAAAACTCGAGCAGTTCACTCTCAAGGTCAAAGAGGAACTAGACAAAGAGAGAGAAGAACGCAACTACTTCCAGCTAGAAAGAGACAAAATAAGAACATTCTGGGAGATAACACGGCAACAATTAGAAGAAGCTAAAGCAGAGTTACGGAACAGAGAAAGAGCCACAGAAGAAGCACAAGAAGAAAACGAGGCTCTTTTAGAAACTGAGAAGCAGAAGATAAAGCATTTGAAATATGAACAACAAGCTGCAGCTGCTGCCTTACGAGCTGAGAATTTAGTAGCTTTAAAAGCAGCCAAAGAAGAACATACTGAACAAGAGCTAGAATTGCTCAATGACAAGAGATTACTAAGACAAGAGATAAGAGAAAGAATCCTAGCTGCTCAAGATGAATTGAGAAGAGCCAAATTGATACATGCTGAAGAAGTATCAAAGATCAGAGATGAGTTTGAAGAAAGAGCTCGTCAAATAGAAGATAAAGCAGACAAGAAATTACATGAAACTAAAGTTGAATTGACAGTAAAGCACCGAACAGAGATCTCTGAAGTTGAAGAAAGGAAGAATAAACAGCTCTCCGAACTAATTCATCATCACGAAAGAGCGTTTTCTGATCTAAAGAATTATTACAATGATATCACCTTGAATAATTTGGGTAAGTATTTTTCTCTGTTGGAATAAGTATAAAAAGAATATTATCTAATAGACATTATTTGATGATAATATTTTTATTTTACGCCTCCCTATTTTAGGTCTTATTAGTAGTCTAAAACAGCAAATGGAAGAGATGCAAAAAGTAAAAGAACGAGCTGAAAAGATATCAAGGGATGCTATTGCTGAGGCTAAGGGTCTTAGAGAGCCGTTAGAAGCAGCCATCATTGACAACAAGGAATTGAAAAGGCAAATGTCTAACTATGATAGAGATAAAGCTGCTTTGGCTGTAAGTATTGAAATAAAAATAATCCTATACTGCTATATAAAGCTCAACAGTGTATTGTGTGTACAGTGTAACACTGGTCTGATTAAAAAAAATGTTTTTGTATTGTATAGCCCATTTATCGAGGAAAACTATGGGCTATAAAATATCACATTAGGTGCTAAGTAGAGCGATTGAAATAGCGCGGAAGTGGCATTTAAAAGAAATAAAATTGAGAAGTTATATAAATATGTATGTGTGTGGTAATTACAGGCAAAAACAAAACAATTGGCATCACTAGAAAAACAATTCGATGTCCTAAAATGGGAATATGAAGTACTTCAAGTACGCTTCGATAGAGTCCAGGCAGAGAGGGACGAGCTCAAGTCGAGGTTCTCAAGAGCTGTTTTAGAAGTACAGCAGAAAGCTTCCTTGAAGACTGCCTTGTTGGAAGCGAAACTAAAGAACATGGAAGGACGTGATACGGGGCCGGGTGAAATTCATGTAAGATTTAGAATATTTAAAAATCACTTCTGATTCTAAATACTTATTAATTTCTGTGTTAAAATTTAGTGTTACTTCATATTGCAATAGCAATTTATCGATTTTAGTTTTTCTACAGCAAAAATGTTTTTACGAGGCTTACCCTCGTGGATAGTATTTAAGTAATAGAATATTATTAAAATATTACTTAGGTATCGGTTGCAAAGTATAAAGATGTAAGATGTATATCGTAGGCGCCCGGAGATCTTAAGCTGCCAGCTTCTCATGCCCCATGGTGTGGGTTCAAATCCTACCATTAGCAAGTACCAATGTGACTTTTTTTGCGTTTTATGTACTTTCTAAGCTTATTTAGACATCACTGACAAACGGTCAAGGATGACATCGTAAGGAAACTAAACTTAAAATGTCTAATTATAAGTTGGAATTCGCCAATCCGCATTTAGCACACGTCAAGGCCGAAACCTTCGCCGTATGAGAAGAGGCCTTTGGTCAGCAGTGGCCACTCATAGACTGTTGGTCAGTTGAAAGTAGTAATATAAATAATGTCATAAAATGATGTCTAATGATTGTTACAGAACCTTCTAAAACTAAAAGATACACAAATAGATGACCTCCGATATGAAGCTGCTCGGCTTCGTAAAGCTCATGACGATTTGTTGGCAACTTATGAAGCTAAGCTGGCTCGACTTGGAGTACCGAAAGAGGAACTTGGTTTCAAGTAAGAAATTAAACTAAGCGCCATCTATGATAGTAGCGTTGAACTAGTCACCCATCAAACGTCATTTATTAAATCCAATGCCATCTAGATAACAACAGGGGAACTAATCGTTGTACTACGGTTGTTTCTCAGTATAAAACATAGATGTCGTTGTTATAAACTTATTTTTTTCGTTTTCAGACCACTCAAAGCAGTTGCTGTGGCAGGTTTGAATCCAATTATGGGGCAAGGACCGGCTGGGTTAGTTACTAAAGACCCTTAATAACAATTTGTATAACCAATCTTGTTCAAGTGAACAGATAACTACAACTTAATCACCAAAGTTATATGTAATAAATATTGATTTCAGTTTATTTATGTGCTATAAAAATGTATAAAAAGTATTAATAAACTTATTTTCAAATATTGAGTGTTTTACTGCTTTAAATAAGAAAGATAAAGTAAATAGATTTAAAGAAATACAATGGCGCTCTTCCGGATAAAACTGTTTTGCTTGCAAACATTATTATAGGGTCTAACTTTAAGATCTTTAATAGACGAATAGGAATTAATTTATTAAAAACAGGTAGAGAAATGAAACTCACAGTTTGAAGCCAATGAGTGTACTTTATTCCCTACTAACGATTTTTTATTTATTTCTTTATGTACAAAACGGTTATAAGGCAACAGTTCCAAATGAATGAAAACGCACTTTACAATGAATATTAATAATTCAAACATTTCGCTTTTGTTATTAGTTTTTTTTTTTAATTAGCAAGAAAATTTTGCGCCACACTTTCAAAATTAAGCCGGTTGCACACATTATTTCCCCATTTAATTATTTTTGAATAATTATTTCATAAGGTTAACATAATTATTCAAAAATTATGTTAACGAAACTGCAGTGTAGGTATGACGTTTTAGCGAATTCAAGGTTTTTAATAATAAGTATATCGTCGTGCCTAGCGCTAACTTAAATACCCTTATGACAGTTTATTCGACAAAGAAGTAGTTATTTATTTAAATAAACTTGTTAAAACAAGTTCTAATACTTAGTTCACGTAAGTCACGATTCACAACACTTTTTCTATATCAACTTTGAAATTTATTGTGAAACCTATTAAAAACTAAAAACTTTGGACAAAATCCAAGGTTTCCTGGAAAACGGCCAGATACAAATTAACCTTTCGAACAATACGATTTCTGAATAAATTCTTTTTTTTTTAAATTAGAAAACAAATATATTGTAGCAGTTAATTTTTTTTTAAGTAAATTGAATTAGTCTACATTTTATTGTAATTCGCGATCCTAATTAGAGTCATTTTACCTGTATGTGAGTTAAATGTGTGTAACCGGCTTGTTTGCGTAACTACTAAAAGTTATGCCCTTAACACCTAATTGTTTTACAAATATCTAAACTTTTTGAAACCAATCTCATCGATTTTTTTTACAAAATACTTCTAGGTGGACTTCATCTATGCTGCTGATGACATTTATTTGTGTTCATTACTCGATAGATTGATGATAATGTTCATTATTAATTATATTCTTCTTATATACATATAAGTGTTTTGTTTCAAGCCAAAAAGCATTGAAATAGCGATAGCTCCCATAAAACAGTTTAACAAAATACACAAAACATCAGCAGTTTAATATTACATTGTATGATAAAATTAATAATATTAATTCACTTTAAAACATATTGTGTATATTACACAGAAAAATATTCAAAAATAATAAAAATTGTGTAAGGGTGTGTTTAAAAGTCATAAACGTGTTTACCTTGAGAATTGAGGCGAGGTCATATTTCTAACAATACTGTACATTATTAAAAGACTGTAAATATTTGAATAATTATTCTGAAAACATTCAAATTTTTAAATATATAATTTATGAAATATCAAGATAATTATATTTGACAGTAGATAAAATTGAAATATAAATGACATAAGTAATAGAAATATAACCTCAGTTTTCAATAGTTTATTGGAAGAAAGGGCATCAACGTGAGAACCTATCCGAAAGTGCCTTAGTAATACCATCACATTAAAGCATTTTACATACAATTGCAATACAACAATATCATTGGAAATATTAAAAATACGTTTTATTAACACTAAAATTTCTAAAAAACTATACACAACCGAAATTCAGACGTTTACACGGAGGAAAATAATAAAAAAAGTAGGTATATCTAAAAATTAATTTGACTTCGGTTTACGTTTTGTGATATTATTTTAACAATTGCTTTTTTGCTAACATTAATAATTATTTTTGAATAATGTATTTTTTAAATTATTTTAACATAATTAGTTTGAAATATTTCATAATTTTAATATAATCTGAATAATTAATTATAGCATTTTTGAATGTAATAGATATTTTGTACATAAAATAAATATTTGTATTAAGTTAACGTTTTTATAATCTTATTGAAAGTATCTATTTTTGTCATATAGTACTCGTAGGTACAATATTTTCATTTAATAATTTGAATTTGGTAATAAATACGTCTAGATGTGTATAGATTTACATTTGTAAAACAATAAATCCAATGATTAAATATAAGTACATAAATTATTTTCATAAGGCTTATAATATAATTTATTTTACAAATATTTGGGATAAAACCACCATACAACACATAGTAAAACTATAAAGGCGTATCTATCGGTTTTCAAAATTATACAAACACTTAATGATATCGAATTTAATACACTAGACAATGTGCGTAGATTTTAGCAATATCTATCATACTCATCCAGTCTACGTGAATTTATTTTTAATTAATTATAATTAAATTGGTATAAAATAATTATGTTCGAAAAATTATTCGATTTTCACAAAATTATTCATAAAATTGACTGTGCTTGTGATTTGTGTATCCATAAAATATTATTTAGGAATGAAACCTGGCAATAGGCCTGGACTTGCGTAAAAGTATACTCAAATAACGGGTAAATGTTCAAAATGCAATCACATTTTATTTATTTGACAAAGAAGAACATATCAGTAAAAATTATTTTAAAGTAAAAAGTGTAAGAAAATCTCGACTGGCGTATTATTCTAGATTTTACGCATTATTCACAAGCCTTTTTGTTTTATAGTAAATATTAAAAACTTATTATGCATCGCTTACAACCTTAGGACATTTGAATTCGTATTAAAAATAACAGTGCATCGCTTGGGCTGGTTGATAGTGTTGTGTTTTACGGTCTTACTTCAGAAAACTGTTAACAATGCTAGAAGCAATTTTCTGATTAATATCATAACTTCATTGTTTTTCTAATTATTGAATTACTGGATTGTAGTATGTTGATTTTTTTTCAGTTACTCAAATATGAGACATGACTTCAACATACCTGAACATTATTTAAGTGAAGTTATTTGGTACCTTCAAAACAGTTTACCAAAAAAATTCTGTAGTAAGACGATAATTGTGAAATAGAGGCAACTAATTTCGATATAATTGATTAATGTATTCTATTTTGGTGAGCATAATGGTATAATGTCGGTTCGGATCGGTATGGACAGTGTTAATGAATTTTTGAATAGTCGAGGCACGGGACGGAGAATCGATATCGCGCAGCGCGTGGCAAGGAATACAATAATCTCAACCGTTCGTACATTTATGATCGTTCAATTCACTCGTTCCAATTAATTTTTTATTCAATTTGAAAATTTTTTCTAACCACATCATACCTTCAGTCAAGCTTTTGGGTTTAGCTAACTTAAACGCAACTATTTAAAATATAATGTGCATTATTACTCTCAAATTAACTAATTTATCATAGCTTATCAATTAAAATGATATTAATGAATTGTACTGGTGGGACAACACTATTTGTTATTTTTAATCGATGTATTTTTTTTTACTAAACTTTTTTTGTTTATCATTATTTTTATGTATTTACTTTTCTCTTTCACTTTCTCTAGCCATCTTCTATATTTGATTGGTTTATCATAATGGATCTGAAAATCAACAATTCGATAAAATTATTTTACTATTTTTGAACAGCTTGCTTTTTATACATAATTTTTAAAATATACAATACTTTTATATCTTCATTATATTTTAACAGCACGCGTGCAGTTTGACACATTAGCGTACGAGCGTTAAAACCTTATTTATAATTACTATTAGGAGATAAAATTCTTTTATTTACTTATATAAATCTTTTGTCGCGATGATATCTCTTGTTTTGTGGAAACCCTTCTGTATTGAGCAATAATTCTCCATGAAAGGTAGTTAATAACAATGAAAAATGACTTAATAAATTACCTTTAGTTATAGCACTTAACAGTAATAGAAAAATTGGATAAACTTAATTAGATATTATCGTCATCAAGAAGATTATTATTATCATTAAAATTATTGTATAATTTTAAATTATCCAGTCCAGTATATTTTATTAAAATCAAATATTAAAATCTCCAAAACAAGAGACATCACCGCCATAATATTCAGTATTACTTTTTATTTCACAACGCGTTATAAAAAAAATCTTTCGCCCGTTTTCGACCTTCTCAAAGTCGTGCTTTCATACTGTGTCTATCCTACCTTCTCACTCTTGCACTCTTACAGAATTGAATGAGAAGAACAGCAATACTCAAGCGTGTTATAAATCACATATGGAGCACAATATAGATCATAAAGTTTGTTCATATTGTTCAGCTCATCTCGTGATGCACTCTGTATCCAAAGCCACCTCTTCAGGAATCCTGTCATCTGAAAAGAACATATATATAATCAATTTCATACCTATAAACTATACTAAAAGACGGGGTGAAATTACGAGTTATGAATCATTATTTTTTAACAACATAAGCAATTTTATTAAGACAACATTTGTTAATTATAAATATTTTTCTCTTACTCATGTACACCGTGTTTGTGATATAAAACATTTCAAATGTGCAAATAGCGTTTTAAAGTACACTTTTAAAGGCTTAGGCATGGCTTTAAAAGCATGTATGAACGATAAAGTATAAACGAACAAGACAGGTAATTAAAAGTGTTTGAATACCAAGCCATTAGGGCTGATGACTGACTTTGAAACAGTTTGCCAATACAAGCTGAACTTTCCCCCTTTCCCTATTGCATGTGGCAAGAAATGGAATAAGTTTTAGATGGGTAAAACTTCCTACTTATGCTTACCAATAGTTGTTGATCATAAAAGATGGAAGATAGAGGTTAATGACATGAGGATCTCAAGGAGTTAAGACTACTTATACTGTCTTTTAATTTCCATGAATAAAGCATATTTTGTAATGTTACAAGTTTGAATAATTAATTTATTCATTTTCGAATAATTATTTAAAAATAATTCTATTTGAATATCAAATTAGCGCTAAGCTTTAAGCGTAATACAAATATTATTATTGGGTTTGTTAGTGTTGTAGTTTCAGTGCTTTAGCGTGTCATACGATTTTGTGCCTTAAGCATATGTTAAAAAAGCTTTCGCCACCAGAGACGTACCTCTGTGTTATTTGTTGTTAGTCACGTTAGGCGTTCACGAACGATGACTTGGTCCTGTCGGATGTAGAGAAATTTATCAAAATGTGTTGAATCTGGTCATTTTAAGGGGCAAATTAGTTTTCAATATTTTAACCAATTTCATCAGTGTGTGGTTTTAAATATTGCTTAAATCTTGTCTGAGAATCATAAACGCTGCATAGACACGCTTCCTCTTTCACAATCGTAGAATGATGAAATGAAATAAACAGATGACAGAAAATAACAAAATTGAAAATAATAGGAATGCATTAAAGTTTTACTCACCCAGACAATGAAGCAGAATTAGAAATTGGCGGACTATTGGACTCAAAGCCCTCTTTAGGCTTCTCATTAGCCAGTTGCATCTTCAGCTGATGTCCAAAACAGGCCAGATCCTCTCTAAACGTATCAGATCCTGGGGTTGTTGGTTTCTCATCATCACCAGTAGCCATCGCCTCAGCATCGCTCTTCAATGGCGCTTGTTCAGACTCTTCCTCAGTATTATAAATCTTAAAGTAAGCAAACGTCAAATATATCACGGATATTATGAATGACGGTATAGGTATTGCCATGGCATACACCAGGTTTAAAGTATTCTGCCACATATCCAGCTCAGTGATTACCAATCCTGGGTCCACGCGGCTGTAATAGCAAGTATAATTGTTGCCGATTGGTTTGTGCTTCGCGTAGAAGATCGTACAATTGAGGATAGGTGGGTACCCACAACCTTTCACGTTTGGAAACAGTCGAGCACCAGTGAAGTACCATTCGGAGTCGTTGCCTTGTAGCCCTGTTGGTATGGCATCAGGTAGATCTTCCTCCCCCATTTCTGGATACGATTTATCAGCTGCAACCTCGTAGTTTTCGTAATCGTAGTCTTTTCTCAGCGCCCGTTCTTCTCTAATTAAAGTTTCCAAGTCTTCAGTAGGCGTTACATTAGGGTATATGCCCAATTTGTAGTTGACGCGAATCTGGGTGCACTCAAAGAGATCCTTGGTGCAACCTTCCCTGCACGATGCCCAGGAGCAGTTGCTGGCGCCAACGAGATGCTTTACCCCTGTCGTAACACATAGTGCTGCGACTGGATCGAATTGCATGAATATTGTGGTGAAGGCTGGTTCTATAACAAATGGTACAAGGAAGAGGAACGCGAAAAGGCTGAACGTCCCAAGTAGAACAAAAGTGGCTGTTGTGTAAAATAGAAGTTTCTCAGCGAAGGTTGGGGGTACAATTTCTTCGTCTGTCATGGTGTGGGAGCGCTACGGGCGACCATAGCGCTGTTTCAGCTCGCTTGTGTCATATCATCTTACATCTCATTTCAGTCTTTCAACGTTTGTTTAGATTGTTATTATTTATTTACATATCTGTTGTTGTGACTAGGAAAGCTTTATTGAGGCTGTAAATGTATTAAGTTAAATCCTTAATTCACAAACATTCTAAAGGTATCTTTTTGAGCTGTTTCCATTCCATAAGTAGTTAAACGTTACCTAACAAGAAAATTATTTATTCTTTGGCTATCAAAATGTAGGCATCAAAATAGAAACGTAACTGGCACTTGACATATTCCGTGTAGCATTCCGAAGTAAGGCTTAGCTTCAATGCGGTCTAGTCTGACAGACGACAATAACTAGGTGAAGGTGTGGTCTGACTGAGAGTTAGGAATTGAGCAATTAAAAACGTGCGCCCTTGGAGACTATTTTTGAATGGATTTTTATATCTTCAGCAAGTATTGGTAGGATTTCTCTTTTGTGTGTAATGACCATCTCCGTTCGAGAAGAAATGTTTGCTTGGTATCCGGGTAGTAAAGTTATAGTCTAATAATAACTAATTATAGATTGATTTCTCCCTTTATTTTTTTATGTACACAACACAGACAATAAACAGAAAAAAAACATATACAACAGGTACATAGGTACTGCATATCCCTTATAAGATTTATTTTTTGCAGCCCTGCTATATTTTAGGGTCGAAACCTTAACCGATTTTTTAGTCCTACAAAACAAATATGGTAAAACGTAAGTCATCATCAGTTACTTAGTTATATTTATTTATTTATTTATTCTTTTATGTACACAATTTAATTATGGCACATAAGGCGAACTAAATGCCATATGGCATTCTCTACTCACATTATATGTGATCAAATTCTCAACTACCCTTTACATACATGTATCTTCAGTAAAATATATGCGACAATAATCTTCAGAGCCATTAGGCAAAGGTTAACGGGCGCGACCACTGGCACCACACACACAGACGCCAGACTGTCTGGCCAGGAATTCAGTATCCAAATATCGATTTGAGCTAGAATTAGCATTGACAATACTTTTGTTTAGCTTCGTTTTTACATGTTGTGTTTAGATAGAAACCTTCATCGGTAAATCTTTCGTTGTATTACAATTCCACCAAGTACCGCCTTGACTTCTGAGATTTTTTGTAGAATCCATAGCTACCTTTTTGTTTTTTTATTATGTTCTGCTGTATTCTTAGTATTCCTAACCTACTAAGGGTAACGATAAACCAAAATAATGTACTTGTAACTTCTTGTGTTCCAGGTGTCCATGGGCGACGCCGATTGCTTAGATACCATCAGGTAATCCTTTTGCTCGTTTACCGGCTTATGCCATAAAAAAATACTTGAAAATATTGTTTTCACACTTGCCAAGAAAAGCTCAGAATCACTATTGAAATGAAATGTCTGTCGAGTTATTAATCCCATGGGTGTCATCAAATAGTAATTTAGATGCCATCCTAACACGTAGGTAATGTACCAACTAGTCAAAGTTAACAAAAATATGTGAATGTTGCGGAAATAAATTAAAATAACATAAATACTAATCATAAACAATTTGAGACTGATGAAGAAGTGTGCCTAAAATATGTATTAGACCATTTATTTTTTCAAGTTTTGTAGGTACCTACGTGTATATAAAATTAGATTATAAATACGTACTTACGTTTTTCCATTAGCAATTTAGTACATGGTTAATATTTTTTATAAATACTCTTTTATTGTACTTGACTGTGTTTTTTTATTGTCTAGAATTGAAACGTCTTCATTCTAAAAGATCAATATAATAAGCTATACTGCAAACTATTACTTCGATAGATAAGTGAAGAATTAATTATCATTGCATCGATTTCTTTCTAAACCTACAATCGATATCTGACCTTTTTAAAAGAATATTTTTATACTCAACCCTATCATTTTGATTCACAATTCATGAACTGAAATTATCGAGGTCGGTTATTGGAATATGAATTTTATATAAATGGTATTCCGTGTCAAGATTCCGTGTCAAACCGTATATTATGAGAAATATAACATATTTAAAGCTTAGTTTCGTGGTGAAAATAATTATTATTGAATAACTGATATAACTAATTAATAATTATTATTTCTGAATTACAAATTATTCGAAATAATTTGACTAGAGATATATTTTTTAGTACCAGCGTTGTAAAAAAAAGAAAGTGATTTTAATAACATATAAGTTAATCATTTAGTTAAACTTGACTGAGTTACGGTCAAAATAAATCACCAATTCTAGGTTTTTGACAGAAACTCAACTGAACTTTTGTCAAAAGTTAATCGAGATTCCAATTTCCATATTTACATAGAATTAAAAACTACTTATGTTCACTTTGAAGTCCTAAGGAATGAGATTTAGTTCAAAAGCGATTACTTTTGGTACAATATGGCAGCTAGGAGCTACCTAGAAGCGTTCTCGACATTCATATGCGTTTGCCATAATATCTTCGATTGTCCGCCAGTCATGGACATCATGACTGGCTGCATTAACATAATAACATAGTACGTTTGTAGCAAAATAATTACACAGAAACTAAAAGAAAATGAGTATAATTTTTTCGACGCTTTAACTTAGCTATTTTTTTTTTCATTTGTTTTCTTTTCTTTTTAATTTCCTTCTATGGATATAATATTAATTAATATATATTTTTTTAAATCTATTCTCACTTTTTATTATTATTTTATTTATAGATTTTATTAGTAGGTACAGTAAATTAACAAAGAAAATAAAAGAAGAACTTAATAAAAGATGTTTTTACTTATTTTAATTTGCTTTTTTATAATGTTTATTACTGCTGTTTTATTTTTGTTATTTTATGTTCTTATTGTTTTTATTTTTGTTATTCAATGTTTACTTTGTGTGTTAATATTCGGTGGTCCATGTCTGGTGGCAAATAAATTATTTTTCTTTCTCTCTTTCTTTAGCTCTGCCTCCCTTTTTGAGCTAAACGCCTCCAATATTATGCTACTATTTTACCAGCCAGCGTACACCATGGATCTATTCTTGCCTATAAGATGACTGTATCGAACAGCGGAATTTCATAACTTGATTGATGGCACTTAGGCGCGACAGGAAAACATTAGTAGTCGTAGAATATTGACGGAAAACAAACTAAACAGTATCGATGACTAACCAATGGTTATTATGTTATTATACTGGGTTATTTGCGTTTGTTTATGTCATTAGTCGAGTAGTGACAAATGTTAAAGTTAAGAACGAATATTTGAGTTAATTTTCCAATCCAGACAGATCTAGGCTTGTGGAATATCTAGCTAAGGAGGAGGCGGAGCGCGTGAGGGAAATCTCCTCACGCCACAGCCGTCGAGGGACACTCTGGGCGTCGAGGATCGCGAGACGATCTCCGGCCACCGTAAACACGGGCCTGCGGACGGCGAGCACGGGTGACTCGCCGCCCGACCAGAACCAGACCCGAGCGTACGGCGCGTCGCGTTCCGCGCACACTTCAAGGAGCCATCAGACCACCACAGATAGAGCCCAATAAGGCTGATGCCGATACGGAGCAGCGGAGAGCTTAACGGGTTGCCGGGGCTTCGGCTCGAAGTGCAGAAGTCGGAACGGGGTGGTTTTTAGACAGTAAGAGTCTGACACTCCCTGGCGCCTCACCCGGGCGGGAGAAGTGAATGGATGATTTTCCCCCCTCAAAAAAAGGCTTATGGAATATAATCTCTATAGCGCAACGCACATAACATGACTCAAAACAACGTGTTGTGGCTTAAATTTTGATAATAGGAAAACGTTATTCCGGTCATAATTTTTAATGATTCCAAGTCATTGATAGGAAGTAGTGCTAGATACCACTAATCCTTTCTAAATCTAAATACATTTTAAATAAATACACGTACAATTAATCTGATTTGTACATTTCCGAAAACGTTAAATTATTATTCCACGAATGTCAATCATATTATACCATTAATTAGTCGCTGTTTATTAAATAAGTAAACTGTAAATATGATTTACTTTATTTTATTAATTAATAAAGTATTTATTTAAAACATCAGTGAAATACTGCGAAGCTTATAAATCGGTTTGATTTTATATTGCCAATATTTTAAAATATGGTTCATATTTATTGCTAAAAATTACATAGAATTTGGGGCTATTTCACAGTATCTGTTTTTTTTTATTTTGTTAATAAAACTGACGGGTAAATTGACAAATTTACCGCTAAATCTAATGAAATCCTAATTTGACACAATTTGAGAAGAAAATCTTATACCCAAACACATTACAATAAGGCATTTTATTTCATAGTAAGATTAAACTATTACAACACCTTGCCTAACTGGTGTGTTAAGTCTTTAAGTTCTAAGGCTTCTCTTGTTACCCACAAAATTCTGAATTAGCACACCTCGAGTGAGTAAACATATGTATAAATACATAGTAATAAACATAATGATATTGTAGGCAGTACATATTATACCATAGATGGGGCCCAGTAGGACTGATGCACGATACGGAGCCGTGGAAGGCCTAACGGCTCCGGCAAGAAGACCAGGAGTACAAACGGGGTGGTTTTTAGTCAGTAAGAGTCTGACACTTCCTCTCGCCAACCCAAGACGGGAGAAGTAATTGGATGATTTTCCCCCCTCAAAAAAAAGGCAGTACACATTTAGGTGTATGATTTCCAAATCAGCATATATTTAGTGTTGGTGGATGTTTTAGTCTCAATTGTGTGGAGTAGGACAAAAGTTTTAAACCAAAGAGTTTAAAATAAAAAACAAAAAAAGAATAAAGAATCTATGTAATTTACAGAAACAGTAAAGTGCACTGTGACTGTCTCGTTGGCCGAGTGGTCGCAAGTGCAAGGGGTCTCGGATTCCGATTTCCGGGTAGGGTAAAGTATTACTAAGTTTTTTAAGTATTATATGCATAGTCTGGAATTGTGCCCGGTATATGGCAATAGGCTCACCCCCTATTACATGAGACTCGTTACATAAATAGTGAATAGTAGGTGTTACATTGTACAGTGGTATTATTTTCTTTTTGTTTTTTAACATTCCTCCATACTTAAACTATTTCTCCTAGCTACTTAACATTTTTAAATACTACAACCTTCTTT